AATAATGCTCTATCTGACACAAGTCAGCACAGACCAAAGTACTATATAGTCTGTTCTAAAGTAACTTTTCACTTTTAGTAGAAATATCTAAGACATGGAAAAACAAGTCACAAGCAGACTTATGTTGATTTGAGTATTTTTGAAAGGAGGCTTACCCTAAACTATAGTCTTATATGTCCCTTTATTTAGTTCTGAAAGGACTTATAGGAATGGAGAACCTGCAGAGCCAGTTCTCAGTTAGATCCACGTTAGGACAAAACACATAGAAGTGAAGATCTGAGAAATGATCCCATAAGACTGCTGTGCTCTGTACCCTTGGAAATTGTTTGTATACCCTAAGTCAAAGACCACCGTTGTATAGGGGACATAATCAGTAATTGTAATATAGTGAGAAATGCATTACAAAAACATGAATTACATACTGTGCTAGTAGAAAGACAAGAATGAAATGATTCTTGAGGGAGATGGAGATTATGCTAGAGGAAAAGTTAGGGAAGGTTCAATGGGGAGGTGAAGATATTTGAGTAAAAGTTGTGTAAAGGGAAAGTGGTGTGAGAGATGTGGAAGGCCTACGCTGAGGGAATAAAGTGTCAGTCACAAAGATAGGAACACAAGGTGGAGCTGGCTAGAGATTGTTGGGCACACACAACAGAGAATATAGAGTTCTCTTTTTCTCATGTTGAAGTTGAGGTGTCTCTGAAATATCTAGGTCAAGTGTTTAGTAGGCTACTGGCAGGTATGAAACTCAGGAGAGAGATCTGAGCCAAAGTAGCCATTTAAGAGTTAGTTGCATAAAGGTCAGAGTTGGGCCATTGGTATGGATTAGATGACTCAGCAAAGTGTAGCAAAGCAACAAAAGTAGGCCAAGAATATCAACGTTTAAGGGAGGGATGGATGGCAAATTCTTGGTCCATATGAGTGTCATAATTCCTCCTCTTTTGTCTACAGCAGATATGGCTGCAGATCACAGCTGTATTTCTCAGTGAATCCAATTTCCATTGTGATTTCTTTTTTGGATATTTAAGAAGCCTGTTAATTGATTTCCAAATGTTTGGGAATTTTCCAGTTACCTTTTTGTTATTGATTTCTAGTTTAATCTCATTGTGGTTGGGAAAAACAATCTTTATGATTTCCATCTTTTAAAATTATTGAGTCTTGCTTTATGGGCCAGCCTGTGATCTATTTTGGTGAATGTTCCATGATGTGCTTTTAATAAGAATATGTATTTTGTTGTTGGGTGTAGTCTATAAAAATTACTTAGCTCAAGTGATTGTGTTTTTAGATCTTCTCTATCTTTACATGCACACTTGATCTTAGCCAAAAGGCCGAGAAGCAATTATCCTTACTTCTGTATGCTTTATTTTTCCTGCTGCTTCTATCAGTTGCTGAGAGAGGTATTTTAAATTATCTAGATGTAATTGTGGATTTGTCTATTTCTATTTTTAGTTCTGTTCATTTTTGCTTTATGTTTATTGCCCAGCTCCCTCCTTGCCAGGTCACCACTGTAGGTTTCTCCACAAAGGGTCACAGCTTCTAATTACAGTTACCCTCTCTGCTTGGTCTTTCCCATTGCCCCTTTAGGCCTAGGGGTGGTAATGGCTTTATGTTATTGCTAGTCCCAGGGTACCGTACCATGTCTGTTGGTTTTCCTAGACTCTGTCCACACCTTCATAAATGGTTCCTTGATTATATTCTCAGTTACTCAGTTTGAATGTAACATCTGTTTCTTGCTGGGACCCTGACTGCTAAATGGAGATGTTTAGGAAAAGCTTTTCAGTCAGCAGGAAAATCCAGTGCAAAAGCCTGAAATGAGCATGTGTCTGGCATTTTTAAGTAATAGTTCAGAGCAGCCACAGTGATCCTAATAAAATCAGAACCAAGTAATGCCAGTCTTCTGCACAATCCTCCAGTCTTTGCTATGGCCTGTGCTATGGTTTGAATATGTTATATAATAATTGGGTTAGGGTAGTTAATGTACCCATCATCTCATGGATTTATCATTTCTTCGAGGTGAAAACATTCAAAAGCCTCTCCTCTAGCTATTATGTAACATATGAAACTTAACTGTTAACCATAGTCACTCTACTGTGCAGTAGAACATCAGAACTTACTCCTCCTATCTAATTGAGTTTTTTACCAATTGGCCAACTTCTCCCTGTTTTCCCTCCATCTCCCCACCCCTGTCTCTGGTAACCACTGGTCTACTCTCTTCCTCTATAATACCAGCTTTTTTTTTTTAAAGATTCCACACGTGAAGGTGGTCATATGGTATTGGTCTTTCTGTGCCTGGCTTATTTCACTTAACATAATGTCTTCCAAGTACATCCATGTTGCCACTAATGACAGGATTTCATTATTTTTTATGGCTGAATAGTATTCCATTGTGTATACATACCACATTTTTTTATCCATCCATTCATTGTTGGACACTTAAGTTGATTCCATATCTTGGCTATTGTAAATTGTGCTGCAATAAACATGGGATTGCAGATATGTCTTTGACATACTGACTTCATTTCCTTAGGGTATATACCCAGTAAGTGGGACTGCTGGATCAAATGGTAGGTCTATTTTTAATTTTTTGAGGAAACTACATACTGTTTTCCATAATGGCTGTATTAGTTTATAGTCCCAGCAACAGCGTGCAAGTATTCCCTTTTCTTCACATCCTTGCCAACACTTGTTTTCTTTTGTCTTTTTCGTAATAGCCATTCTAACTGGAGTGGGGTGGTATCTCATTGTTATTTTGATTTGCATTTCCCTGATGATTAGTGATGTTGAGCATTTTTGCATATGACTGTTGGCCATTTGTATATCCTCTTTTGAGAAATGTCTGTTAAGATCCTTTGCCCATTTTTTAGTTGGGTTGTTTTTTTTGGCTATTGAGTTGTTTAAGTTCCTTATATAGTCTAGATATAACCCCTCGTCAAATGTGCAGTTTGCAGATATTTTCTCCTGTTCTATAGGTTGTCTCTTCACTCTGTTAACAGTTTCCTTTGAAGTGCAAATGCTTTTTAGTTTCATGTAATCCCACTTGTCTATTTCTGCTTTTATTGCTTGTGCTTTCAAAGTATTATTTAAAAACTCCTTGCCCAGCCCCTTGTCATGGATCATTTACCCTATGTTTTCTTCTGGTAGTTTCATAGCTTCAGGTTTTATGCTTAAATCTTTAATCCATTTTGAGTTGATTTTTGTATATGATGAGAGGTAGGGGTCTAGTCCCATTCTTCTGCATACAGATATCCAGTTTTCTCAGAACCATTTATTGAAGAGACAGTCTTTTCTCCAATATGTATTTTTGGCACCTTTATCAAAGAGTGGTTGGTTGGTTGTAGGTATGTGAATTTATTTGTGGGCTCTATTCTGTTCTGTTGGTCTATGGATAATTACTTGAATCTATTTTGTTAGGCTAAATAATTATAATCTTTTCAGGAAGTGAAATAACATTTATAAAGGCAAATTACTTGAAAATATCATAGCTGTAATTCTTTATGTTATAACTACTCTGTAATAAAAGCCAGTAGATAATATTATTCACATATTTGTAAACAAGCCTATCCTTTCAAAGAAAAGCTACGTTAGAAAGAAATTAATTTTTATTTTCTTTCCTGCATTGAGGAAAATAGGGTAACATGATCAGTCAGCCAATACTTGGAAGTAATTAAGGTTATACTTTGAGACCCTGCTGACTACCTGTTTTTGAGGGCATTAGAACGTAAAAGAACAGTGATTCTCAAATTTGCATTAAAAATCACCTGGAGGGCTTATTGAAACACATATTGCTGGACCCCACTCCAGAGCTGCTGATTCAGTTGGTTTGGGGCAGGGCCTCAAAATTTGCATTGCCCTAAGTTCCCTGGTGATGGCGACGTTGCTGATTCCAGGTGATGGTGATGCTTTGAGAATCTCTGTGATAGACTGAGTGAAGACAAAGAGTTGATAGGACAGGGGAGGAGAAAGGAGGGCCTGGTGGTTTCTGGAGGAGGTATGCAGCCCCATTTGGGGCTTGGCTTTGTATGTAGTCTTTATCTTCCTCTCTCAATTTGCCACATACGTGTAATAAATTTTTTCATCTATAAAAGCTCTTTTCCACAGATTTACAGATTTCCTCATTGGTAACGTACCTATCTGTCTCACAGCGTTTTTTGGGAATGTGTAAAGTACTTAGAAGATAGTAAGCATTCAACACGTGTTGGCTGTTGTTATTATTGCCATGATATAAGACCTTAGCCTCCAGGATAACTCACTAGCTCTAAACTGGCAATGCTGAGAGATGTGTTTTGCAAAGCTACTTTTTTGAGTGTCTTTGAGCCCTTTCCAAATGAAGTTCCAGGTGCAGATGGTATCAATGTGCCTATTTGGTTGTTGGAGAGAGCAAAGCAGGGAGAGATTGTTCAGGTTAGTTCTTTACTTTAAAAAGTCAGCCAGGAATCAGTGTTACTTTTAAAAAACAGAACTGTGTAGAAGTTACTGAGGACTTTTACTGTCTCATTTGTTTCATGGAAGAATTCTTGGCATGTATGCCACTTGAATTTTGTTCTTTTTTATGTGCCTAGAAATATTGAATTTTGGGCTGGGGAACTTGAAATTGTAGTGAAGATAAAGATGTATAAAGATGTAAAAAGGTTGAGGATATGTGTTAAAGATTCTGTCCTATTGATGCTTTGGATAATCTTAAATAAAACACGTTCTTCTGTATTGTTGCCTTTTTAGCATTGCTATTAATGAAAAGTAAAGCTGGTTAATATATTTTATTGTGTTTCATCTTTTTTGCTAACCTAGATTTTAAAAATGTGAATTTCACTAATGCCTCACTTCTGCTTTATACAATGTATACTTTGGATGAAAGTTTTAGAGCATAGTGCCCAACATATACAGATGTGTGATACATCTATAGTATCCTTCCTGGTAGGTCAGGACAGGCATTGCTGACGAAGGCATGATGTGTGATTTTCTCGCTTGTGTTGTGTAATCATACTGTTTCTTTATTCTCTTTTTAGGTGATACAATTAATATTGGCGATGTATCCTACAAGTTGAAAACTCCTAAGAACCCAGAACTTGTGCCACAGAACTACAGTAAGAAATATTCATTTACCTATAGATGAATAATTTTTAACTTTTCATTATAGTAATTTTTAAACTTGCACAAAACTAGAGACAAGGCTATAAACTTGATGTACTTATCATCTAGCTTCAACATTTGTCAACATTATGCCAATCTTCTTTTCCCCAATCCCCATTTTTTGTTCTGGAGTATTTAAAACCTGTCCCAGACATTCTATCACTTCACCCATGAATATTTCTGTAGAAACATTTATTTTTCTTACATAATACTGTTTCTTTTTTACTTGGGATAAAATTTACATATAATTAAATGCACATGTCTTAAGTGTTCATTTTGGTTTGTTCTGACAGTTTTATAAACCAGTATTACACCAAGATTACTTTTATCACCTCCAAATGTTCTCTTGTGCTCCTTCCCCTTTACCCTGCCCTGGAAACCACTGTTCTCTTTTTTGCCATGATAGATTAGTTTTGCCTGTTCTCCTACTTTGTATAAAGAGAAACATATGGTATGGTTTTCTGTGTGTGTATCTGGCTTCTTTCCATCAGAAGAATAAATTTGAGATTCATCCATGTTGTTATACCTACCAGTTTGTTTTTAATTCCTGAGTAGTAGTCCATTGTATAAGTAAGTCATAGTTATTTATCTGTTCCCCTCTTGATAGACATTTGGATGGCTTCCATTTTTGGAAGGTACTATGAATAAGGTATGAATAAGGTACTATGAATATTCCTATACAAGAATGTGGTCATAAATTTTTACTTCTGTTGAATAAAAAACTAAGAATTGAATAGATGTGTCATAGGGTAGAAGCCTATTAAACTTTATTCATTTTATAATTTTATTTATTTAATTTTTAAATTTTTAAATTTTTTAATTTTATCAATATACAATGTAGTTGATTTTCGGGTCCCTTTACCGATTCCTCCCTCCCTCTCCCCCCTCCCACCCATCAACATCATATCCGTTCACTTGTCTTAACAAGTTCAAGGAATCATGATTGTTGTGTCTTCTTCCCCACCCCACCCTCGTTTGTTTGTGTGTTTATTTATATATTTTTAGCTCCCACAAATAAGTGAGAACATGGTATTTCTCTTTCTGTGCCTGACTTATTTCACTTAATATAATTTTTTCTAAGTCCATCCATGTTGCTGCAAATGGTAGTATTTCATTCTTTTTTATAGCAGAGGTAGAATTCTCCAAAGCAGTTGCACCATTTTACTCTTTGATCAACAGTGATGTTCTGCATCCTTGTCAACGTTGGTATTTCCAGAATTTTTGATTTTACTATTGTACTAGGTGTGAAAAAGTAACTCACCATGGTTTTTGTTTTATAATAGCCTTGTTGAGCTATAATTCATACATCATAAAATTCACCTTTTTAAAGTGTATAATTCAGTGGTTTTTACGATATTCAGAGTTTTGCAACCACACCATTATCTAACTTTAGAACATTTTCATCACCCCAAAAGAGAAACCTCATACCCATTAAGTCATGCCCTATTTTCTTCTCTTTCTCCCTGTCCTCCCCACTTCTCCACCCCTAGCCTTTGGCAACCACTAATGTACTTTTTATTTCTGTGTATTTGCCTATTCTGGACATTTCACGTTAATGGGATCGAATGAGATGTGGCCTTTGTGTCTGGTTTATTTCACTCAGCATGATGTTTTTAAGGTTCATCTATGTTGCAGCATAAGCCAATACTTTATTGTTTTTGTGGCTAAATTATATTCCATTGTGTGGATATTCCACATTTTGTTTATCCTTTCATCAGTTGATGGACATTTGGATTGTTTCTACTTTGGGGCTATTATGACTTTTATGAATGCTGCTATGAATATCCATATACAGTTTTTGTGCTGACATACGTTTTCAGTTTTCTTGGGTATATACCTAGGAGAGGAATTGCTAGGACATATGGTAACTATTACAAATTGGTTGTATTTGTAATTACAAAATGGTTTCCAAAGCTGGTGCACCATGTTACATTCCTGCCAGCTATGTATGAGGGTTCTAGTTTCTCCATATCCTCACTGGCACTTGTTGTCTTTTTCTTTGATTGCAGCCATTCTCATGCAGGTGATGTGGTATCTCATTGTGGTTTTGATTTGCATTTTTCTAATGACTTGCAGTCATTTCTTTGCTGAACATCATGTCAAAATTCTTTAAATGACTTTCTGTTACCTTGGGAACCAAAGGCCAATCCTTAGCTATCTTAGTCTACTCTTAGTCTCATCTGATGACACCCTCCTCTCCTATTCTGTGTTCCACAATACAGAACAATTTTTTTGTTCATTTTTCAGGTTCTTCCATTAGCCTGTATGCTCTATTAAAAAAATATATTCAAGGACCAGCCCCGTGGCTCACTTGGGAGAGTGTGGCGCTGGTAGGCCCCAGGTTTGGATCCTATATAGGGATGGCCAGTGTGCTCACTGGTTGAGCGTTGTGTGGACCACACCGTGCCGAGGGTTGCGATCCCCTTACCCGGTCAAAAAAAAAAAAAAAAATATATATATATATATATATATATATACACACACACACACACACATATATATATTCAATGATACTTGTTAAAGCGCAGTAAGAAGACTTTATTTAGTACCCTTGCATTAGGTATAGGGAGCACTCCAATGGGGTCTTGCAGTGGAGGGGAGAGAGTGGGCTTAACTCTGAGTACAGCATGGGCGAGTGGGAATTTATAGCCAAGGAGTAGGGTGGGGGTCAGTGGATGGAAAATTACCAAGAAGAAACGTCATGCGTAAGGAGGATTCTGGCTAAACCTAACTCAGGATTCTTGCTGAAGACAGACCAGGGTGATCAGACATCACCTGGGATGATGTCTTAATTTCTCCTTTGTATTTTGAAGGATAATTTGATTGGATATAGAATTCTTGGTTGACAGTTTCTTTCAGCACTTTGACTATGTCATCTTTCTGCCTCTGGTTTCCCTAATTTCTGATGATAAGTCAGTTCTAAATCTTGCCAAGGATCCTTCCTACTTAATGAGTCACTTTCTTCTCTGCTATCAAGATTCTTCCTTTGGCCTTTTTTTTTTTTCCTTTTTGTCTTTTTTCGTGGCTGGCAACAGATCGCAACCCTCAGTGTCGCGCCCGTACCGGGCCGGGACCGGCAACGGGATCACAACCCTCGGCGTTGCCCCCGCACCTTGCTCAGCCAGTGAGCAGCTGGTCTGTATGTGGGATCCGAACCCTCGGCGGGAGCACCACCGCGCTTCCCAAGCGGCGCACTATCACAGTGCGCCACCGGGCCGGCCCCTCCCTTTGGCTTTTGATAGTTTGACTATGATGTCTCTAAGTGCAGATCTCTTTGAATTTATCCTATTTGGAGTTTGTTGAGCTTCTTGGATGTGCAGATGAATGTTTTTCATCGAATTTGGCAGTATTTTGGCCATTATTTCTTCATCATTATTATTCTTTCCCTCCTCTCTGTTTCTCTTTCTAGGACTTCCATTATGTGTATGTGGACAGGCTTGATGGTGTCCTAGAATTCTCTCAGAATCTGTTCCTTTTTCTTCACTCTTTTCCTTCAGTTCCTTAGACCAGCTAATCTCAATTGACCTATCTTAAAGTTTGTTGATTCTTTCCTCTGCCTACTCACATCTGTTGATGTGAATTTTTTCATTTTACTTATTGTAATTTTCAAGTTCAGAATTTCTATTTGGATCTTTTTTAGTAATTTCTATCTCTTTATTGATATTCTCCGTTTGGTGAGAAATCATTGTCATATTTTCCTTTAATTCTTTAGATGTAATTTTTTTTTTTGTCCCCACAAAGGAAATTTTATTGATGGCTCTAGTTTATTCCCACCCAAAAGTCCTACTGTAACCAAAGTGAACATAACCTCGAGATTTTATTGTGTTTACAATAAAACAAAAGATGAAGCTTAGAACTGGATCACTTGGCCCTTTCATCTCTTGTCTCCTTCCAGTTAAAAATGTTTGCATCTCTCAATGGCCAGCATTCTCTTATATCTGCAGTTAGGTTCAACGCACACAAGCCTCAGCACAATCTTCTTTGTAGTTTTAGACTTTTTCCACAAGATTGGCTTAGTCTGCCCACCATAGTCACTGCTTCCTGTCATAATGCCACTTTCCCTGGGCATACAGAGAATCCCTGCCCTTCTTGTACTTTGATACTTTGTGGGGTTGGTGCTTGCCACACTTCTTACAGAAAGTCTTAGAAACCTTCACCATGTTTGCAGGAGTGGTATGGGCAAGGAAAGAGAGACATAATTTCTTTCAATTCTTTGAACATATTTATAATAGCTGATTTAAAGTGTGTGTCTACAAGTCAAATATCTGACTTCCTCAGAGACAGTTTGTATTGACTTATTTTTCCTCTATGAGCTATGACTTCCCATTTCTTTGTTGTAATTTTGTTACTGATGGATCTTGTACGTGACCAGTGCCATTTTGCACACAATAAGCACAAAATAGTCGCCAGCCCCTCCCTTCGTAAGAAACCTCATGATTTCTGAGAAACAGAAATTCTTTTGCTTCTGCAAGGGCCCAATTCTCCACCCTGGTCGCATAGCTTCTGCATTAGCATAATGCCCCTCCTTGATTGTATCAGCCTTCCCTTGGTACCCTATATAAGCTCTCCTACCCCCACACCTGGTGCATTTTGAGTGCAGCCCAGCAGATTCTTTTCCTTTAGTAAAGCTTTTTCAGCGTCTTGGCTCACTTTCTTTCATTTTGGTGCTGAAACCCGGGAAGGGTTCTGGCCGGCGTTCTTGGACAATCTCCTCTCTTGGGTTGATTGGCCTGCAGCCACCCTTCCTGGACCAGCTGAACCAGGTACCTCTGGAACTCTCTCCTTTTGCTGTTTCCAACATTGCATCCAACATTGGCCTCAATTCAGGGTGAGTCAGTGGGTCTGTCCTGCTTCTACGGGTTCCCCTGACTACGACTGCGGCCTCTATGAAGCTCAGGTGCCTGGCCAAGGGAACCTCTCTCATGTCCGCCAGCTATTGGAGTACATCCCTCTA